GGGCCCGCGGCCGGGCTCGGCGCCCTCCCCTGCCGCGCTGGGGGGGCGGGGTAATAAGGCCTGCATGCTTCTGGCTGAAGGGCAAGATAACAGATCAAAGGGAAAAAGGACAAGATAACGGTTCAAAAGAAAAGTTACTAACGAGCTAGAGACTTATCGCCGCTGAGATGACTTAACTGCTTAATGTAACTGCTATAGGGGGAGGGAGGGGGGAAGGGAAGAGCTTAGCTAAAGTAAAGTATAAAAAGAGAAAAATTGCTTATGTTGGTGTGCTTGATCTGAGACGTGCCAGTCTCCTTGCACCGCTTTGAGATCTCAAATAAACTTTGATTGCTTCTCCACCCTGGTGTGTTTATTGGCGTGGTGCACACCGGGCAATGAACCTCGTTGTTGCCCCCTCGGGCACACTGTGCCGGCAACAACTTCACATTGCTGGAATGACCAATTACTCTTGCATCAAGAGTGCAACCATACTTTTCCTAAGGAAGATGCCCAGAGCTCTCCCTCCCCAGCCCTGCAACCAGCTCCACACACTGCCCTCCTGCTGCTCCCACATGAGGCTGAGCTCTCCCTGCCCCACACCAGGCACTGAGCTCTTAGTCAGAGAGATGGTCAGGCTGAAGAACACCATCTGCAGCAGGGGCCAAAGGTCTGAGATCCCCAGATCCCTTCCTCCTTGTGCATCTCCACTTCCCCAAGTGCCAAAAGTCCTGATCCAATCTGCCTACCCTTCAGGAGACTGGGGGTTCGCAGTGCCCATGGGTGCTGGAAGGATGGCAAAGGTGTTGGTGGGTGGGATGTGGAGGATGAAAAGCAGGAGCATGGGGGCACAGTGATACTCAGCTTTGGTCTAGCCACCCCTCCTTGGTCATGACAGAAGTGTGGCTGGGCCAAATTTCCAGCTCCGGTCATGGGACAAGGGGAGAGGCTGCCCACCCCTCAATGCACCCCTACTTGCACCATCAATACCAACTGAGTTTATTCATAGCTTGCTATGTGTTTACTCTTGATATTAGTTTTACCAACTGCAAAGCCACTATATTAATGCACAGTTAAAAACTGGCATTTTAATAATCACAAAAGACTCAGGAAAGATAAAGTTCTGGGTTCCCAAAGCAGCTGTAACAGTCCTCTTGAGCAGCCTGAATCTCCTCTCACACTAGCATAACTCCCCTGACTTCAATGGAGTTCCTCCTGATTTGCATCTGTGTGAAATTAGAACCCGGTTCCGTGCAATGCATTTATTTACCAGTTTCTACAGAGCCAACCACTGTGTGAGGTGGGTGGTACATGGACACACCAGATAGGTCACTTATGAAAACTAAGAACAAATGGGAGGTGGCATAGTCAGGTGGATAGCAGGTCCTATTCCCTGGCCTGCTTGGGGATCAAAAAAAGTCACTAGGGGGATATAAACCACTATTGACACCAATATAGTTTCAGCTGCATATAAGGATTGGAAACAGCTCAGACAAATCAAAGAGAAACCCATTAAACACGAAAGCCTTTTTAAATAAGGTATCAATTTTACACAGTAAATTTTCAGAGCAGAACGGCACTTTAAAACCTATTACTTTTGCAACCTCTCCACCAATGCTGTGTCTACACCAACATGTGCCTGACCTGTTGTGTCTTGGTTTTGTCTCTGTACAACTGCCAACTCTTGGAGGCAGGAACCTTGCCTTGCTGTTTTGGAAAAACCCTTGTATATTTACATCACTATCATTAATAATAATTTGTTATTTGTTTTCAGGAGCATCCACAACTTGGTAAGTGCTTTCAAGACAGAAAAAAGGCACACTCCCTGCACCATATTTTGGGCTGACTTTGGAGTGAATACTTTGCTGGCTATCTGCTTGATTTGACTAACCTGTTATCAGTGGGCATCCATGAAACAGCAGAATATAGATCTCCGGACAGCAGGTAAGGACAGCTTCCACAGCTACATCTGTCAGAGTCACACAGCGTTCCATGTGGATCTCCTATTATGAAAACAAAAACCTGGTAACCACATCCGTAACTTCTAAAGCACAACTTTTATGTTGTCCATTCTAATGTCATAGATCTGCACAGATGGTGATTTTTAGGTTAAATATCCAGCTCTGTAAACTAACTATGAAAATGAAGTCCTTTTTTATGCACAAAGATTTCTGAGCAAACATATATGCACAAAGATTTCTAAGAAATTCTTGGTACTTAGGTTGAATCTTGGTGGGGAACTGACAGTCAGGATCCAGACACCCCAAGAGGGGAACAGAAGGTTTAAACTCCAAAAATGAGCACCTGAACCAACTGATCACATACTGTATTATTGTGCTATAGAAATGTATTGAGCAAGGTCTTTTATGAAAGTTTGTAATGTTTTGAACTTAATGATCATTATGAGGTATGTATACAGACTGTGGCTATGTAGTTGTGTACATATAAAAACTGAGCTCATAATTTGTGCTGCAATGTTCAGTGCGTTCTCACTGTCAGGCAAGTCAGTAGGGAGGGGCTTCCTCCCCAGCCAGATGAGACTAGCTCTAAGCACCAAACATTGTACAACCCAGGAAAAGACAAATGAGGGGCTATTCAAGTTAATGGGAAAACACTGAAACAACTTGAAACTGAAAAGAAAACTCCAGTCTTGGAAAACTAAGGGTACGTTTACACTAAGGGTATGTTTACACTTAAAATGCTACAGCAGTGCAATGTAGACACTACCTACGCCAACGGGAGGACTTCTCCCATTGGCATAGTTAATCCACCTTCTGTTGACCTACCGCTGGATTTTTCACTATATCAGATGTAAATTCCGAGTGTAGACCAGGCCTAAGAAGGAGGGAGTTTTCCCCACTTTGAGTATCTATAGTGGCTGAAGAACCCCCCCCCCCCTGCAAACCATTAAAAGTGGAAGGGGTTTGAACAGAAGAGTATCCAGAAATTGAGGGATGACATCTAGGCTGTAAGTGGTCTGTGAAACGCTGGATCCTCCCTACAGTTAGGCAGTACGCTGGAAAACTGTTCAAAGCCAATAGGTAACTTGTATTAGAAAAGGAATTATTAATGTAATTTAAAAGTGTAAAGCTTAAAGTTGCATTTTTATGTTTATTTTCTGTTCTTTTATATTTGTTTCCCTTGCGGTTTCATTTTTTAATCTGTGATTTTTTTCTATTAAATAAACTGTTTATTTTTATCTCGAACAGGTCTCTGTGTGCAAAGTGTATGGAATGTATGTGCCAAAGCAAGCTGGTGTCTGGGGGGCTGGTTTCATGCCTTTGGTGTCTGAGTAGTTGAGAGCTTGGGGTGGATGGATTTGGGGACGCTTGGGATTGGACAGGCTGCTTGGATCACCCTTGTGGAGGAAAATTTACAGAGGGCCTCAGGCTTTGGTCAAGCTAGTAGGCCTGAAGTATTAGCTGAGCTTGTTTCTGTGTGTAAGGGACATGGGGAGGCAAAGTGGAAAGTACCCAAACACAATTTGCAATAGCCAAGCTTGTTTTCGTATAACCGCAATGGAAGCATTAGAAAAGTCAAACCACAGAAGAGCTAGATTGGGAATAGGAATAACAGGAAAAGCCAAATAAGGGAGATGATTGTTTCTTTTTGCTTTTGACCTTTATTAATTTTGCAATGTATTCCAAATACGGTAATTGATACGGAAGTATGTGTAATTTGTCCGTGGTTTTAAGCTTTAAAAGGCTTGTGTGTTCCTTGAATCAGGGGGCAGCTACTCAGAGCTGTTACCCCCCCCGGCGCGCTTGTAATCAATAAAGGTGCCTCAGGCTGATCTGATCCAAAATCAATCGTGTGGCTGATTTTCTACAACACCCTGCAAGGGGTAACTAGACTGGTGGAAGGCAGCATGAGACCTGTATGCTTGTGGGCTGGAGACTGGTGTTAGGGCTTTGTGACAAAGCAGCACAGCATTAGGATACGCAATGTTACAGGCAGGCAGTGACATAACCTCTTACTGGTCTGGACGATCGCCAAAACGTCACGGTAATTAAATGAGGAAATGTATGTAGTCAAAAAGGAATTAGTATAATCTTATTCTCTGAATCTACTGACCTGTGAAGAATTGTGTCCAGATGTCCAAAGAGGGAATACTGGTAATTGACAAAAAATGATTATCACACGTGTTCTGTGATTAATGAAACACTGGTGATTAGCAAAGGGTGCCTATTACTAAGGCTATGTTTTAGTCACGGGTATTTTTAGTAAAAGTCATGGACAGGTCATGGGCAATGAACAAAAATTCACAGCCTGGACCTGTACGTGACTTGTACTATAAACACCCCTGACTAAATCTTAGGTGCTCTGGGGGGCTCTCGAGTGCTGCTACTGCTTTTGGGATGGGAACTCCAGGGCACTGCTGCTGCTTGAGGGTGGGGTGCCACGACTGTTCTGGGGGTTGAGGGAGCGGCCCAGGGTGCTGTGGCTTTTCTGGCATCTCCCGGGGCAAGCTGCTTGGGGCCACCCAAACAGCGGCCGGTGCAGCTGGCCCCAGGGCTGCCCCAGCTGCTAGGGCAGCCCTGGGGTCAGCCACACTGTCGCTGCAGAAGAATCCGTGACTTCTGTGGCCTCCATGACAGACTCACAGCCTTACCTATTACCAAAGATGTGTGCTGTGATTGACAGATGCTGGTGATCGACAAGGTTCTCCTATCAGCCACATGTTCTCTAATTGATGGGATAATGAACCATTGATTGATTTCTAATTCAATAAGAGTCATTTGTTTTCATGGATAGTTTTGGTAATAATGTATTAGTTACAGATGTCTTTTACAATTAAGTAAATAGAGACACCTTAAGATAGAACTCACAGTTAAATCAATCATGAGCAAATAATTTCTTTGTTCAAAACCCTACATAGGAAAAGAGTTTTGAGGCAGTTGAATTTGGAGTGAATTATGCTGCACTTACTTCTTCAGTTGTCAGATCGGTTTGGTAAAGTATAATATGACACTGATGCCAGCTTTGGTCAGAACTGTTGGCTCAGCTGAAAACAGACAAACTCACAGCAGGAAGTTAGGCCAGTTCACTTGTGTATTAGCAGATAATCAAAGGAGGCTGTTAAATGTCAGTGTATATATTTGGTGTTTAAACTTCATAAAATTAATGAGATTTTGCATGTACTATTTTGCATTGTATATGACACCCAATATCTAAATAACCCTCCAAACATGGAAAAAGCCTTGTATAATGCAAATAAAGTACTCTTATCAGAAAGGTAATGCATCTCCACACTTCAAAGCAATTGGTTATTGTGAGGGCATTCAGAGTTCAAAGACTCTAAAAGCATTCCTCTCTCACTGCTATCTAAGAAAAAATCACGGCACAGGATAGCTGTCAAGTCAGATTGTTCTAGGAGAACAAATATAAATCTGGATATAAAGGAAAATCCTTCATCTCTGGACTGTTTGGATTCAAAGAGGGGAGAATAACTGAACAGGACAACAGAGATCCCCAGAATTATTCTTGGTAGCCCTAAAAGACTTTTGGGAAACTGGCAGATTATTACATCTCAGCTACCATTTGAAATTATAGACTGTGACTGACCTGTACATATATTTTACCTGCTTTAACCTTTCAATAGCTCTATTTTCTTTTTCTTAGCTAATAAACCTTTAGGATTGGCTACCAGTGTTGTCTTTGGTGTGAGATCTAGGATGCAACTCGGGAGTCATGGGACTGAGGGTAACCTGGAATATTTATGATTTTTGGTGTAAGTAACCATTTATCACATAGTCCAACTTGCCTGGGTGGCAACATAGTATATAAGACTACTGTAGTACTTTGGGATTTCACTGGGTTGGTGAAATCTAATTATAAAACATACCACCAGACTGGGGTGTCTGCCCTGCTTTTGACAGTCTGCCTGAGGTAGGCACTCACAGTTGTGAGCCACTCCAGACAACATGACATATACATTAATCTCTGAGTTCTGCTGTATTACTCTCTATTCTATAATCTCTGATTAAATATATTCCAATTAAGCTAATTATTTGGCATCTCCTATTATCATTATTAAAATTCAAATATGCAACATCAGAAAGGACTACCGCTACCTCAAAGTCTGTTCGGGCCCTTCTTTCAGGGCACAGTTTTATTCTTCAAACATAAGACTCATAAGGTAACACCTAAACAAAGCTATCCCCTCCTAACCAAAACAGGCTGCAGGGGCTGACAGGTCTTTCCCCTTGAACAGTCACAGATGAGGCTGGGCCCAACTCCCCTTAAAGGGCCAGCCACCCTGTGACACAGCCTCTTAGAGCTGTTAATTAAAAAGAAACTGATTTTTAAGTTTTGAATGTATTCCTATGAATTCAACTCTTCCTGCTCTGCTGGCCCTTGTGTTGCTGCAGATTGCTATTTGCACTGGCGCAGCTACCTTACTGCAGCTACACTGATGTAAGAAAGACCACTCTTCAAAGGGCTTTAGTCTTTAAGAACAATTTTTTCTATATGACTTGCTTTTTTTATTCCACTTTGGGCTGCTCTGCTCTGAAAACTTACATCAGCATAACGGTCTCTCAAGGGTGTGAAAAAGCCACAATCCTGAGAGATGTAGCTATGCCAATCTAACCCCCCAGTGCAGACAGTGCTAGGTCAACGGAAGAATTCTTCCTTCCATTGACATAGCTGCTGCCTCTTGGGGAGGTGGATTAACTACAGCGATGGGAGAACCCCTCCGAGGAGGTGGAGGAAGAGACAGTGGAGAACGGCGGGGATGGGGGAGGAGGATGGGACACGGGATAGTGGGGAGAGGAAGTGGGAGGGGGTGGGGAAGAGAAGGGGATATGGGAATGGGAGGAGGGAAGCAGGAGCACGGCATGTGACGTCCCCTCAGCAGTGGCAGCAGCCCCAGCAGGGAGGCGGCCGCAGCAGCACCAGAGCAGTGACATCACTGCAGCAGCCGGTGCTGGAGGGGCTGCCAGCAGCCGCTGAGGCTCCCCTGTTAAGCTGTCCTGTCCCGCACCAGGTATCACTCCAGGCCGGGGGAGAGAGTCAGTGAGCCACGCGTGTGCATTGCCTCCCACAAATATAGCAGTCAAACTATGCCTCTGACAAAAGCTGGTGACTTGAAGGCTGCCTAATACTTGATTCATGCCCACAGTCAGGGACGTCCGTAGGCATACACAGCATACGCGGCTGCGTACGGCACCCAAAAATTTGGGGCACCACCCTCGCTGGCTGCGACGCAGACTCCTCTCCTCATTGGCCCCTCCCCCATGCTGGGCCGACCCAACCCCTTGGCCTTGCCCCTCCGCCCACTCACTCCTCAGCTGGCCGGCTGAGGGCTCCGGCTTGGGCAGGGCATCATGGGGTCAGGAGCGAAAGTTTGCATGTGAGTGAGCAGGGGGAGCCAGGGGGGTGGGGGTGAGGGAATACCCAGATGCTGGGAAGAGATGAGGGAGCTGAGCTCGGGCGGGGGAAGGGGTAAGCTGGGCATGGGACTTTGGGGAGCGGGGGGGGAGAGGAGGAACCGGGCTGGGAAGGGAAAAGAGCGGGGAGGTGTCTTTGTCTGGCTCAGTGAGTGAGCAGCGAATGCACTAGGGCCTCCTGGGGAGCAGGCTGGTGGCCCCAGGGGAGAGCAGCTGTTCTGAGCAGCCCCACACTGTACCTGCACCTCTCCCCTCTTCTGCCCACATGCCCTGCCCCATTGGCAACTCCCTGCAATCTCTCGCCTAGTCTCCTTTTCACGCCACGCCCAGACGCCAGCATCCCCTTTGGACTGTCACCTTTCCTCTCCTCCCTTCCCCAGCAGGGATCAGCAACAGAAGCAGGCTGGGAGGAGGGAGAGAGGCACACACACAACCAGGCTGGGGAGGATGGAAAGTTAAAGGAAAATAAAAGGTGGCCTTTGCTTTTTCTGCCCATTCACAATATTCCAGTGTCAAGAAGAGGTAACTGGCACTAAAACAATGGGAGGAGGGGGATGTACCTGGAGCAGAAAAGCAGCAATCGGCTGCAGAATGGAAGGGAGGGAGCAACCTCGTAGCTGGGCAGGAAGATGGACTTGCACTTGACAAGGCCGGAATAGCTGAAAACTTTTATTTAGGGAAAAGGGACAGAATTTTTTTTCTTGTGGATCCCAAGATCTCCAGGGCCGTCTCTTAAGTTGGTAGCATTTTGAACGAGGGAGAGTTCTAAACAGTGCAGCATTGAGTGGGATTTTAAAGGTCCCTTCAAGAATGCAGCACCTTCTTCCTCACCCATGGGAAAGACCTTTAAAAACAGCCTTAAATAATCCAAAACAAGAGCCACGGTTCAAATGAGAGCTGGCTGCTTATGGCTCCACTCCACCGTTGAAGCATTGTTGAAACTGCGTGCTGAGTTATACCCAGTACAATCCCACTGAGCCAGGTGTGGAACCAGGTATGTAAATCAGGGCAGAAAAAAAGACTGGTGCCTGAATATAATTCCTTTTCTTATTAAACTGCACATCCCAAGCACCTCTTTACTTTTCAGGTTTAGAGGGAAATGCTCTATTTTAGGGAGAATGAAAGGCCATTTGGGAGTTGATGGCCCAGAGCAGTGGCAGGCAAGGGCCTGGATGAGGGCTGGACTCCACCATCGGTATCAGCAATTTCTTTTTTGTCATTCAAATGGATTTTGGGTCATGGCTGACATCCCAGCCATCACGTAAAATGCTTCCCTGTGGCCTTCTGACATGCACACAGAGATATCTCACCGCCAAGTCCCTATCCTAGGACGGGAGGGTGGGAGGGGGTGGGGGGGAAGGCTGCAGGGTGATCTCCCACCTCCATGTAGCCAGTGGCCTATGCTTGCCACTGCCATGCTGGAGCCTCCACGTTTATTTATTGACAAAGTTTA